GAAACTGGGAAAAACTTGTTTCCATATTCCATTTAAAAGAAAGTTCTTTGCTTCAAGCAATAATGGAACAAAATTCACTCCATAATTTGCACAATTTGCTGCAATTTTAGCCAGTTTTGCTTTTTCTTTCTCCGTTTACCTAAAAACTGATGAAATGCAAAAAAGCATTAGTGTCTATTTAAACAAAAATAAGCATTTATTAACAAGTCGATCAAAAACAAATGAACAGAGCATAAAAACATGGAGGCAGCAGCGATGCTGTCGCTTCCTCTGATCTCTGCTTAACGCTCTAATGAACAGAAAAACCTGCTAACGTCGCCAAAATGATCAGCTGGACAATCAATCTTTGTATCCTAAAGTCCTACTAGTGCTTTCTGTGTAGAAGCATCAGCAGGGCATAATGCTGCCATCACCATGCTTCACTCAGGAGATGAGTTCTAATGGTGTCCATCAAACATATTATCTAAATTCTTTTTTATTAGGCATCATCAAGTCTTAAAAGGGCTGATTAAAGAGTATAAATAAAACTGCTTTGATATTAGAACTTTATTTATTTCAGTTTTATCTACTTGTAAAGAAAATCCGGCTTTATTTCATGACTCGATTCACCTTTAAAGGCCGTATTCACCCTGGAGTTTCATCTAGTGTGACGGTCTAAAAAACATTACTTATTGTTATTCCACTCCTGAAACGGTATTTATTTACTTCCTGGTTCCTTAGCCAATCATATGAGAGGTCCCTCTTTTTCCAGAACAGACTGCAGCGTTTAGTAATTTAATGTTGACGACAAGAGCAGCAGACTGTAGAACAGGTTGTTTATTTAAAGCTAAGTGATGTTTTTTTTTGTCCTTTGTGTCTGAGCAGGACAAGGATTTGACCGCCACCTGTTTGCCCTGCGTTACCTCGCCAACTCTAAGGGCCAGGCCCTGCCCAGCCTGTTCACAGACCCCGCCTACGCCGCCATAAACCACAACATCCTGTCCACCAGCACGCTCACCAGCCCCGCCGTCAGCCTTGGAGGCTTCGCTCCGGTGGTGCCGGACGGGTTCGGCGTCGGTTACGGAGTCCACGACAACTGGATCGGCTGCAACGTGTCCAGCTATCCTGCTCGCAACGTCCATGAGTTTCTGCAGTGCGTTCACAAGTCTTTGGAGGACATCTTCAGTGTTTTGGAAGGAAAATCTCTCAGCTAAATGTAAAAAAATAACCATGACAACAGTAAACATTCTGGCATTATCGAGACTTTGAATGAAGAGAATGAAGAATTAAAAGTAAAGTAATGTTTACTTCTGAGTTTTGATGTTGGGATATTGAGGAATGATCGACACGTCAACAGGCAGCTTCAGAGACTCCAACCTAAAGGACCTCAACCTGGAAATGGATGTCGTGCCTTAATGTGAAAAACAGAACCGATCTTTACTGTAATTCGTGTTATTTAACCAGCTCCACTTGGTTGTAGCCTTATTCTGCTTGATTGTCTTTTACAATAAAACTTAATTATTCCACACATGCTTATCAGTCCCAATTATCCCCTTCATTTCTTAATTCCATTATTTTCCAAACAAATTTCCTTCTTTTTCATGTTTTTCTAATATTCTGGATATTATAGCAGCTTTAATATTAATCCGATAATAATGTGATGGGTCGAGTATCACTAATGCAAAGGTCAGGGATTTGCGAACCAGGGTTCGGGACCCACTTGCTGGCTACTCCAGACCGACCCTGATTTAAAACCAGGGTTTCCGCAGATCATTAAAAATCATTAAATTATTTTTTAAACTAAGGCCTTTATTGGCATTAAAATTAATGTGTATATTGTGGCATTCAAAATGCTTTATTAAATTTTTTTAATAAAAACAATTTCGTTATATTTGCGTGGAACTGCTTCTGGTTGATCACAAAGCTGTATGTTCAGAAAAGAAGCTTGAGAATGGGGGGGGCAAATTTCAACAAAAGTGGCTGTAAAACGAGGAATTCGGGACATGGCTGCAGCCTGTCGACGGGCACCTGTTGGTGGCATTAAAATTATTTTTAAGAGCATTAAAAAGCATTACATTTGAGTAATTCATTCTTGTATAAACCCTGTAAAACATTTATAAATTACCGCATGTTGTCCGACGACAGTGTCTAAAAATCACTTGCGCCGCTTCTCCTGTTTGTACGGTAAAGCTCTCCAGAGCTTCCGGGACCAGTCTACACGTGATACAAATTAGCCAATGAGCTTTCAGTCTGGGATTCCGTTGCTAGCAGTGGTGTCGAAAGTTCACACATTTGTTGCTTAAGTAGAAATATAGATACTGCAGTTAAAAAACACCCTTGTAAAAGTTGAAGTATCAACTTTACTTCTTCACTCAAGTAAAAGGGAAAAAGTATGTGCTCCAAAAACTAAGTATAAAGTAACTTTAAAAAACGAAAAAAAAAAAAACAGCCAGATGCCACTATATGAATTGAAAGCTCAATTTTTCGACTATCTCGAAGAATTGTTTGAGATAAGACCAAGGATGAGGGCGGTCTTGTTGGTCTCCGTCTCCCGATACGCTCTCGCCTGTGTCAGAATTCTGAGATTAAAGTCAGAATTCTTAGAAAAGTCAGAATTATGAGAAAAAAGTCAGAATTCTGAGATTAAAGTCAGAGTCCTGAGATTAAAGTCAGAATTCTGAGAAGATTAAAGTCAGAATTCTGAGAAGATTAAAGTCAGAATTCTGAGAAAAAAAAATCAGAATTCTGACTTTTCCCCATGTTAAACTGTAATAAAATTTAAAAATCAGTTAACATTTTTTTCCTTTTCAGTGGCCCTAATCCTCTCTCGTAGTTAGCTGCAGTTGTTAGAGCGAAGTGAAAATGTTTCCAGAATATTCACATTAAGGCGAGGGACTCTAGTTACCTCATATTAAATGCAGGCTTTTAATTATTTAAGGTAGTTTGTAAAACTTCCATAAAAAAAGTTTTTTCCTCTGCTTGGTATTTTTTCTACACTCCAGTTTAATCTGAATTTAAATGATCTCCATTTAATAAGTTTTGACTTTTTTTCTTGAATTGGGAGAAGTCCGGCAAACCAAACGTCTTTCTCGACAAATGTATTCTTCCTATACTTGGCCTTAAATATGTATGTTTGCTCTTTCAAAACACTTTCAAATGATTTAAGCAGGCCAATGTTCTACTTCTACTTTTCTCATTAGATGTGACAAAATGAGAAGGACCAAGTTTCTAGTTTTATTGTTTATTCAAAATAAAAACCAAAAGCAAAATGTACAAAAGCGGTGGTTGAACAAAAACATCAGCTAACGTAACCAAAATGTTCCAACGGCGCGTTCTAGATGGGCTTGATCTTGAAGTGTAGCCCGATCAGACTGAAGACCAGACACTTCAGATCCTGGACCAGATAATAAAACACACGGAGACCTTCAGGGTCCCTGAAACAGAGCAAAGATCCAGGTTCAGAACATCCAACAGGAGCAAACAGCGATAAACGGCTCTGTCAGGTAAGCAGAACTCACTTTGACTGGTTGACATCGATCAAGGAGCCGATTTTGGAAGTTGTGAACGAAATGTGCTCGTCTCCAATGACGATCTCCAACTCCTGAAAACAAACAAAACCATGATTAATACGACTCGACTTACCGGTGCTGAGGACATGATCAGGTCCATACAAAAAGGAACAATGAAAACAAATATTAGCTAAGTAAAGATTTTATTGAAAAAAAAAAAATTAGGATGGAAGTGATGAAAAGCTATGAAGGTTTTCAAGCTTCTTAATAGAAAATGTTCATTGCTAAGAACACAAAACCAATATTACAATTTTGCAGAAGTGTAGCTGATTAGTTTGATCGATATTAGTTATATCATTTAAAAGTAAAACATATAAACATAACCCAGGTTCCAGCTTTGTTTAGTGTTAAACTCCGTTTAGATCAGAGGTTCGACCTGAGACCCATAAATAACAAGCTGGGTACCCTCTAAAATATATTCATTTTTTTCTCCAATTTTGTTTTTCAAACTATTTTTTGAAATCCTAGTTAATTGTTTTACTCAAAATGTAATTTTTTAATCCGACATTTTATAATTATTTGCTGTAATATTTGATTCGTGTGTTGGAGAGATAAATAAATATCTGATCTAATTTCATTTCCTCATACATTCTTGTTGAACAAGATAAAATACATTCTCATATATTTCCAGGTATATTCTGACTTTTGGGGATTAAATAAAATTGGCAGTGGAAACCATAAGCGACCACTACTTTTGGAACTCATAGATTAGATGCGTCTCCATTTTAACGAACCTGAATCAGGTGATTAACGCTGCGTCTCATTTTAACTGGAAAGATTCAAAAAGTCAGAATCCCAAGCCTGATCACCAAAACCGACTTCTGCTTTAATGATGGCTGCTACTCACATTAGCGGTCGTAAAACTCTAAAGGCCAATTCATGCTTCTGATGCATCGCCTCTGCAACCGTCAAATCTGTCTCTGTGCAAGACCACGCCCCCTTCCTACATTTGGTGCCATTCTTAAAAACAGAGGAACAATGGACAACTACGACAAAAGGTTGATTTAGGAGGTTCTGAAGTACAATCCGTCAAAGTTCTCCAATAGGCTCCCCCTTGCGCTTTGACAGGAAACTGCTGTGCCTCCCTAGAAATCCCAGATCGAGAGTGCAGAAGCATACCAGCAAAACTGGTTCACAGCCAGACCCAAGCGATATTTGATGTGTGCGTTTGCAGAATGGTTTCTTAGCAGGTCTTTATTAATTATCATATTTCAGACATACATCTACCCCTCGGTGTTAATGAATAAGACAAGATATTCCAGCCATGTTTAAATGAACCAAACACCAAGTAGAACAATTAAACAGGATGATTCAATTAAAGCTTAAACATTTCAACTGTTTATTTATTAAAAGGTACAGTGGACAATGATCTTTTTTACAGGTGGATCATCTAAAGAACTTGTTCTCCTTATTGTCAATCATTCTGTTGGTATGTTTACATAAGGCCGTCCTATGTGTCACATCTTCCCTTAACATTGGTAAGTGACACAATGGAAAAATTGCAAATATTCTTTTGGCAAGTAAGCTAGTATGAGCGATGCAAAAAAATTACTTTTTAACAGAGCATGCACAAGGAGAAATGGGCTCATGCATGCTCTTGCACGCATTTAATAGGTGCTTAATATATATATATATATATATATATATATATATATATATATATATATATATATATATATATATATATATATATATATATATTCTTATTTTTTATTTTTATTTTTTTACTCATTTGGGTGGGTCTTTTCAAAAATTCGCAAAAATCCTCCACTATACCTTTAACTACTTCCTAATAAACAGGGGCTTATCTGTCAATAGGAGCACCAACAAAGTAGACTTTATTTTTGTTTGCATCGTTTTTCTTTTAAGAAAAAACCTCTTAATTTTACCTGTATGTAACCTCCAGTGCATTTAAAGCAGGCAAACCATAAAGTATAAACCATAAATCGCGGTGGGTGTTTTAGGGAAACACCGACCTGACTACACAAAAGGATGTGAGACTTTAAAGGAATAGTACACCCAAAACATGATTAGCCTTCATTTTCTACTCACCCCCATGCTGAACAACACTCTGGAGTACTTTTTTGATATCTCAAATGCATCTGGAGATCTGGGAGGCTTCTTGCTGTCTGCTGACATTCAAATAATGGAGGTCTATGGCACCCGAGACAGAAAGGTCCATAAAAGTCCACAAAAAACGTGTCAATATTCCTCCATACTGCTCGTCCAATGTATTTCAAGTGTCCTGAGTGTGTAGCATCCAGAAGTTACTCGAAACGAAGTCATTTAGAATGTTTTTAGAGCATAAACAGTAGTGTATAGGATTTCCTGAAAGCGCGTTCACGACGCTATGGAAACCGCGGCAGACCAAACCAGATGAAAGTGCGCATTCAGCGTCTGCTCTGCCGATAATGCAAGCGTAGAAGAAGAAATGTGCTGTTTACCTGTGCAAAGAAAGAAACAACGAAAGAAAAATGTCTGAGGACTTCAGTGTTGAGGAAGAGCATGAGTTCTTTGCCGAGCTGAATGCGCACTTTCATCTGGTTTGGTCTGCCGCGGTTTCCATAGCGTCGTGAACGTGGGGGCGCGCGCTTTCAGGAAATCCTATACACTACTGTTTATGCTCTAAAAAAATTCTAAATGACTTCGTTTCGAGTAAATTCTGGATGCTACCCACTCAGGACACTTGGAATACATTGGACGAGCAGTATGGAGGAATATTGACACGTTTTTTGTGGACTTTTATGGACCTTTCTGTCTCGGGCGCCATAGACCTCCATTATTTGAATGTCAGCAGACAGCAAGAAGCCTCCCAGATCTCCAGATGCATTTGAGATATCAAAAAAGTACTCCAGAGTGTTGTTCAGCATGGGGGTGAGTAGAAAATGAAGGCTAATCATGTTTTGGGTGTACTATTCCTTTAAGCAAAGGGAGAAATTAAATAATAATCTGATTTCACCCAAAACTAATTTCTGCTGATGTTAAAAAAAAACTAAAAGACTGAAAACTGTTGAAAAGCAAAGAGGAAGAAATTGAGATGATTCTCCTGGAGGTTTCTTCCCGCTAAAAGGGAGTTTTTCCTCTCCATTGTCACTAAAAGTGTGCTTAATATAAAGGGGGTTGCATTTGAGTCAATTAGTCGATGCAATCAACTGGTTTTCCTTAGATAGAAAACTTTGAATCAGCTTGACTGGATGATCTGGTGAACTGTAAAGTGCCTTGAGATGACGTGTTGTGAATTGGCGCTATAGAAATGAACTGAATTGAAGATGACAAACCTGTCTGCCAACCCGGTCAGGAGGCGGCCACAGGGCATCATCCTCCTTGGTGATTTCACTGTCATCTATGATGCGTTTCAGCTCCTCCATCACACTTTTGTGTACATATGCCTGGATGGTATTAATAAAAAAACAAACACGAAGAAACCATCAAAAAAAAATAAATCTCCACCTAATGTGGAAAATTATCAAATCAAAAAAGACATAGCAACGATCCTATTACAAAGATAAATATAAAATTTAAACACAGGCGGTCATTTATTCCAGATAAACATGTCTGGAGACAAAATTAATGGAACTAAAAATTACCATACTTTACCTCTTTCCTGATCATGACGTCATTCTTGTAGTTGCTGTTGTTTGCGTATCTGAGTTTACCTATAAGAAAGAATTTGCATCAAATAAACACAATGAATGATTTTCACATGAGGTTCAGACACGGACATTAAACGCCGCATGGCTCGTTTGATCCAATCATCAACCCTTAGATTATTACTGAGGTCTTTTTAAAATACGCCTATAGATAACAGGGATACTCTGAATGCCTCCTGACGTGATATACTCTCACATTTTGATCTATGGTTTATACATCTTGCTCGCTTGGTTCGTTTAGGATCCGCTGCGGCCTTCAAGGAGCTAGCTGCTAACATCGCTAGCATCACCAGAGGAAGCTAGAGCCAAAGTTTTACCGCCAAACACTCACCGTCGGGTCTGAATTCAAACTCCAAGAACTCATGTCCAAACTTTCCCTTATGTCCCACATAATATCTCAAATAAAAGTCACTCGTGGACATATTTAAACGCTAAATTGTGTTATTTTTAGTGAAGTATCGCGCACAGAGCTAGCAGGTACAGCTCACAAGTCTAGCTTCGGCGGCAATGTGCGCATGCGCACTGAGACACTCTGTGATTATTTCCTCAGTTTTGTCTTACAGGCGTTTCCAAACCCTTGGTCTCAAAGAGAGATTTTCTCTGCAGGCATTAAAGGGGAGTTTAGCATTGAACTGATGGGCTTTGAAGCATCCTTTCTTCCTACTTTTTTTATTTATTTATTTTTAAACATATCTTTATTACGTTTTCCAACTTATACAGACAACCAAAAAAACCCACACAGTGAAAGACAGGAAAAATAAAATAAATAAAAATAAGTAAGTCAATAAATAAAACTAAATCAGGAAAATCTGTAACAATATGTTCAAAAAAGAATAATAAGAGTACGGATAGTACAGAAAAAACACTGAAAAAAAACACAAAAACATATAACAACATTAAAGCCCAGATTAATTAATCAATTAAAATGATACATAACTAGATATCCAGGCATTACAGTGTCACTATAATAATTGGTTGAATTCACACGCAAGTATGGTTCCCTCTAGGAATCTTAGACCAAATGAGTCCATAGAGTCCCTTCTGTATAGTCCGTGCACTCTCTATACCGATGTTATCTAAGAATGGATCCCACATTTTGTAAAATAAAAGAGGTTTGTCCTTAAACCAGTGGGTCATTGCTTCCATTGGAATTAGTTCCCTCATTCTCTGTAACCACTGTGAAAGTGTAGGAGGTTTGTCAGAGATCCACTGAAGTAGAACATGCCGTCTGGCACCAAAAAGAAGAACATCTAGCAGTGTCCGCATAAAATAATTTATAGTAAGTTCAGTGCAGGATGTAAACCAAGGACACAAAGCAGTGGGGTTAGGTCCAGATCCTTACTAAATATGTCAGAAATTTCTTTAGAGACCTTTATCCAGAAATTTGTAATGAGGGGGCAGTCAAAGATGCAATGGTAGTATGTTCCCTCTGAGATCTTGCATTTATTACAGTATTTTGAAAGTGTGGGGTTAAATTTGCTCCTTAATATTGATGTAATCTGGAGCCTATGGGTGATTTTAAATTGTTGTTCCACAATTTTGTTGGTGGACAAGCAACCGGGAGAGCTAAGCCATACATCACCACACCTACCATCTGGGATTGATGTCCCCAGATCAGCCTCCCAGAGCAATTTAAGATGACTTATGCCCTCAGCTGTGGGGAACAGAGCACCATATAACCTGGTTATGCTGTTCAATTTAAACGTTATAAAGTGCAAATAGAGTTTAGTTTAGTTTAGTTTAGTTTAGAAATTGTTATAATCAATTCGCTGTACCCTGATATGGGAAGCAAAATTATGTGAATTGATTATTAATTCACCGGAAACATCTGGTTAAGTAAATCTAATGATATTATTAAATAAATAAATTTTATAATGTGGGGGGAAAAAACCAATGAATTTTAAAATAACTAACAAAAAAAAAAAAAATATATATATATATATATATAAATACAAAATAAATGTTTAAAAAATACATAAACAGGGCCTTATAAATAATAAATAATAGATGAATAGGGCTAAATTGAATTAGCAATGATTCATATAAATCATAAATGGAATATAAAAGCAGAAATATGTTGCATTTATTACAGTTTATTGTGGAAAGCTCTGATGATTGTTTACTCTATGGTATTTTAAGTTAAATCAAAGTTAAGAAAGCCAAAATTTGTGGAAAATACACATTATTACATTATTTTAAAGGCCATTTTAGCTGTACCCTCACCTTTATACCATCTAATTAATAGATGGTATAAATAATATTATAGGGAAAATATTCATTAAACCATTAAATGTAAAAAAGGCTTCGTCCACAAGTCAAATATATACCTGAAAGACAAAACAGAGGGTTTAGTCACGATACGTGAGTTTACGTCGCATTTTATTGACGTCATCAACACCGAGGTTCCATCTGGAGCCGCTCTGTTTGTCGCTGCACGTGTAAAATCCAAACTATCCGCCATGGCGGGCTCGTTCTCTCAGCAGCTGGAAGAGCTTCTGAATCCGTTACCGAAGTTCGCGGATCCGGAGGATGACGCCGAGGAGGCGACCAAAGCGCGCGTGGTCGACAGGTTCAGCGAGGAAGAGGAGGATGACCTCGGTGTGGGAGCCATGATCAGTGCCCTCCGCAAACAGAGCTCCTCTCTGCTCCTGGAAACAGACAAGAGGTATGCAGGGAGGCCGGTGTCCCGTAAGCAGCTGCTGATGGGAGCTGGAGAGGAGGAGGAGGAGGAGGAGGAGGATGATGATGAAGGTGATGATGATGATGGGATGGAGGAGGAAGATGACTTAGAAGAGGAAGAGGGTTCTGCAGAGGAGGATGATGATTCTGAAGATGGCTTAAAGCAGCAGCTGGATGATGATGGTGATGATGATGATGATGAAGAGGAGGAGGAAGACCTGGGAGAAGATGCCAAACTAGCATCACAGGTGAAGGACTCTGACGCCACTTTTCCTGAAGAAGTGGACTTTTACAAGATGACCGAGGGCATGGATGACCTGGGGATGAGCGAGGATGATGAAGACGAAGGCAGTGATGAAGATGAAGACTCTGAGGATGAGGATATGGAGGATGAAGACGCTGTCCGCACGTTTTCTAAAGATCAGGTGGACGAGGAGGTGGAGAAAGGCCTGGCGGTGAAAAACCAGCTGGCCCTGTGGGACCAGCTCCTGGAGGGCCGCATCAAAATCCAGAAGGCGCTGGTGACGACCAACCAGCTGCCGCAGCCGCCGGCCTTCCCAGAATTCAAGAGGAGGGGCGGAGCCGAGTACGCCGGCGCTCTGAAGAACGCCCACAAGGCTCTGAAAGCGCTCCAGAGGTCGCTGCTGGAGCTGCACGACCAGCTGCTGTTCCAGAGTCCGGAGACGCGCCGCATCGCCGCCGGGAGCGAGGAGGAAGAGGAGATAAACAGTGACGAGGATGATGAAGAGCAGGAAAGGTCGGCACGGGAAGCTGCAGCGCCAAAAAGAAAGCTGGACATGGCGGAGTACCCCGACTTCATGGCCAAACGCTTTGCAGCTTTCGAGCCTTACCGTAACGCCACGCTGCAGAAGTGGCACGACAAAACCCGCCTGGCGACGGGCAAAAGCAGCAAAGGTTTCGGAGCGTTCGAAAGGAGCGTCCTGACCCAGGTGGAGCAGGTGCTGATGGACAAAGAGCGGCTGCTGCGCCGCACCCAGACCAGGCGCTCAGAGTACCGAGTCCTGGGCAAGAGAGAGTCGTCAGCCGTGATCCCTGACGGCGTCCCGGCGGAGGGAGAGGTCGCCGAGCTTCACCTGAAGGCCAACACTCACCTGAAAGACCTGGACGAGGACATCTTTGACGACGACGACTTCTACCACCAGCTGCTGAGGGAGCTCATCGAGCGCAGGACCAGCGTGGCCGACCCCAACGACCAGGTGGCCATGGGCCGGCAGTGGCTGGCCATCCAGAAGCTGCGCAGCAAGATCAAGAAGAAGGTGGACACCAAAGCCAGCAAAGGCCGCAAAGTGCGCTTCCACGTCCACAGCAAGCTGGTGAACTTCATGGCGCCCGTGGACCACAGCTCCATGAGTGACGAGGCGCGCAGCGAGCTGTACCGCGGCCTGTTCGGCCAGAACGCCTCAGCCAGAGAATAAAGACCCGCTGGAAGTTTTCAGGACGGTTCTATAGAGGTTCTCCCTGATTGGTTAGAGCTGCAGCTGGAAACAAGAATGGCTTCCTTCTGATGGGAAACATCATTTCTCTTCGCCAAATAAATGTTCCAAAGCTCAGAACTTTGCTCAGTCGTTTTAAACTGTTTTAAGAACCAGGTTAAATTTTTCTACAGATTCTTTGATTTATAAAAGAAATTCCTCTATTTCCATTAGCAGATTTCTCTCTATAGTTTGATAAAAGTCTAACCTCTCAGCTGGGAAACACCGGGTCAGTATGGAGCTAAATTTAGGCCCAGATTTTGTTCTAAATTTTTTATTTTTTATTTTACTGGAAAACAAAATTTCAAGGAAAAAATGACAGTTTCTCAGTTCACAAGAATGCGAGTACGGACTTGTGTCCTCGCCAATTATGTTTTTGAGAAGAACCCAGGAAAGTGTGGACTAAATCTGGGTTAACTGGAACAGAAGCGTACTGATGACATCACCACACGATCGGCTCCTCTAGAGCTGCATTTCACCTCCCGTTATTAATAATCTCTAGATAATAATACATTCAAACTTTTTTCATTTAGTGGGGAAATAATAATTAACATAGTCAGATAAACGCAAATCAAATAAACATTTTACCAAAAAAGAAAAAAATCTCCATCAGATCCAGCGGTCCTTCACACACGGGTATGCAGAGAGAGGGCCGCTGCAGACGGGCTAACATTAGCCCTGGCTGCCGTTAGCCTCGGAGCTCCGCTGGTTACCGCAGTCCTCTCAACTTTGGAAAAAATGTTTTTTAACTACGCATTAAATCAGTAAATGGGCCATATAGTGACGCTTTAAAGTATATTCTCACCTCAAATTATCTTAAAACATTTATTGAAGAACAGCAAGAGTAAATAGAACTTTTCATCTTATTATTCTGAGCTCATTGAAAGCTGCTGCTGCCGAAGTGCATGCTGGGACAGCTGTCAATCTCAAGAACGGACACGTCTGCTCTGATGCATGCTGGGTAAAGAGGGAGGGGCGTGAACAACATCCAGAGACCTTTTCTGTTCTTGTGAATTGGAACAGTACTAGGGCTGAGGCTGATGACTTTTCACGAGTACATTAGAACGCACATGTTGAGAAACGGCTAATATTCTAGTTCCCACTGTTCCTGAATGCAGCACATGGAAACGTTTTGTCCAGGCACCATAGCTGTCAATCATCCCATAGTCCCGCCCCCATGCAGAGGGGGGCAGCAGTTTTAAAACTGAATTAAAGAAAAACTAAAATATTTTTAAACATTGATTTTTTAATTTTTTTTTTTCACTTTCAAAAATGTTTCTGTTTTAAATCTTTTCAATTTAAAAGATAATTATTAGTTTCTAATTTGTTCATTTTTGGTTCGAAATTTGTTCAGTTTGGGTGTGCAGGTGACGCAGTGGTTAGGGCGCATGACCCAAGCACAGAGGCCTTAGTCCTCGACGTGGCCGACCCGGGTTCAAATCTGACCTGTGGTCCTTTGCCACATGTCTCTCCCCCTCTCTCATATCCCCTTCCTGTCATCCTACTGTCGAAAAAAAACGAGCCACGAGTGCTGCAAATAAAAAAAAAATTTCAGTTTTAAATCTTTTATAATTTATTTGATTTTCTGCTTGATTTTTTTTCTTTTTGAGCTTTAATGTAAAAAGTTTTCTAACAGTTTATTATATCAATTTAACTCCATAGATCTTTGTATCTTTAATACATACAGGTATGCTTCTTTAAACAAAGAGTGATTATATGAATTAAATTTTGTATTTAAGACACGATCACAGAAAATGTGTGCCTCTTTTTTTACCAAACAGTTTAAGCATGTATTGTGGCTCCAAGCAGATGTCCTAGTTTAATTCTAAACTGGAATCGGCTCTTATAAGATCCTCACTGGACCATAGGCTCAACATAAAGCCTCACTTTATGACCTAAAGAAAAGTTTTCTAGAAACAGAAAAGCAATAATTGTTCAAATAAACAAATAAAAAAACATTCTTTGTATGGATCCTGGATTCTGCAGGGAAGCAATGACCCATTCTGATTTACAGTGGGGGGGCATAAACAGTTAGTGCTCCCCTCCTTTATTACCTAATGAATGGAGTCTTCCTATAAACATTGGATTAAATAAAGACTTTATCCTAAATTGCTCATTGATTTGAATTATCAGTTTTCAGTTAAATTACTGGAAAAGAAGGAAACCTCTTAGAGCTGCTTATTTAGCTGGTAGCGTTTTGTGTCTCTACTTATTTAAAAACATCACAAATTTAGTGTAATATTTGCTCTGAAGTAGAGAATCTGTGTTTTTCCTGCTCTGTATAAGTTTAAGAAAACAAAACCCAGAGCAGAAGAGGATCCAACATCAACCACAGGAAGCAGGCGATGCTCCATTTGGGTTCAGTAAAAGTCGGATGCAGGTTAGAGGGACGCATGCTTTGATAATTTAAGGGGTTAAATGTGTCGACTGATATTAGCTGTAAAATTAAATATCAGCATCAGAAATTCCTCAGATTATATTTCCCAAATTTAAAAAGTCGCTGTGTTTATGACAAGTGATTATTTCTGGAGAGTCAGCAGGTTATGATCATCCAATAGTAGCCTGAAATGATGTTTTATTAAAGTTTCAGAGACGCTCCAGCTGCCATTTGCAACAAGACAAGAAGTTTATCCAAAGCATCCAGTAGGTCGGCCGCTCCAACCAATCCAAGGAGAATTCCAGCAGTCATGAAGCAAACTGCAGGCCAGGCTAACAGGAAATGTTAAAAAGGAAAGATACTGGAAGCTAGCATTCCTGTAGGCGTCGTCCTTTCCAGCTGCTGTTCAGAGCCTTTTGGATGAGTGAGCAAAATTAAACTGTTGGTCTTATTTCTGAGCCATGATATGGAGTGGATTTTGTTCCATTATTTTGCAGGCAAAATGCATGTTTTTTAAACTGAAATTTTAAATAAAATGCAACAAGATTAGACTTGGAGAAACTTAATTTCCGTTTAAGCTTCCTGTTTTCTGTTTTTTTATATTGTATTTTTTCCAAAATTTTTAAAACTAATTTCACAAATTGTATAGTTTTAAATGGTGACATTTTTTTGGTTGTATTTTTTTTTTTTGCCTTTTTAAATAAGACTTCGATTCAAGCCCAATAGAAATGCTCGTTCTTGACCGATACAAATATTGTTGCTAGCTTAAAAAGCAGTTTTGCTCGACCCTGAAGTGAACTTGATCTTTAAAACACAATTTAAAAAGAATAGAATTCATAAAACTGTCTTTAAAAATACATATCTTTTAGAAAAACTAATTTGTGGAAAAAAAAAAAAAAACTTTTTGTAAAAAAAAGATCTGGAAAAAAAAAGTAAAGTTAATCTCAAAAATGTGTTTTTGAATTAGAATTTTTTCAATTTTTTATTTTTGGATTGTATTCTTTTTTTATTTCAATTTTAAAAATGTGTTTTTGCTTGCAACAATACTGGAAAAAAAAAACTCAGACTGGCAAAGAAGTAAAGAAAAAGAACTGCTCATCTCCCTTAATGAGCAAAAATGAGCTTCAGTAACAGTGAAATGACACAAACTAGCCTGAGGAGGGCAGCAGAGTACCTGGAAAGTTTATAAACTCATATGTATAAACAAAAGTATCAAAAGAACATTTACAGCAGCTTTTTATAGACATATTGAACCTAATGAGCGTGCATGTTGGTGGGAATCCTCACCATCAGCACAGCCTCTGATACATCAGAGTTTATAGCAGCAAAGCAAAACAACACAGGAGAAATTAGAACAAACTGCTCTGGAACTGTTAGTGAATAGCAAACATTTGCAGCTGGTCCATAAAGTTCAGATACGACGGCACCGTTTCAATCAGCCTTTAGCTCAAAACAAAGCAAATACAACCTTAGACAACGGGGGAAAAAAAGCAATAATATCGACTTATTGAGCTTTAACTTGCATATATGAAAAGATTGTTTCTCAGAAGGAGGTTAAGTAAACAAAAACATCCATGTTGATCAGATCGTTTCTGAGGAGACAAGCTTCTGGACTCTAAATCAAACAGAGGAAGCAGGGTTGGTCCCACAGGTCCACAAGCTTGAAGCTTGAAGCTTGAATCCAGATCCCTGATTGACCAGATCTCTGCAGTCTGAGCAGAATCAGACTTTTACGGTTTCTAGGTAACGATGTAGGGAGAGGAGCACTGCGACGCTGTGTTTCCCTCGGGTCAGTGGGGTCAACTGCTCGGCTCCACGCTGGGCTGCTGCGGCTTCATGAACTTATAGCTGCTGATCCAGCTGTTGAATTGTTTGGTCAGGCCGCCGTTCAGGATGTCCTGGATGTGCTGGACGATCAGGTTTATGGCGACTGTAGCAACGGAGGAAAGAGGCGTGTAAAAACTCACAGAACAGAGAAACACAGATCCTATAACGTACCGAAAAAGAAAAAAAACAACTTTTATTGAGAAACAAGGTTGATTCTGTGAGTTTAAGGAAAACGCTGCAAGGTTTTCAGGATGATAAACAATATGAAACTGAAAAGTGTGGCATGGATTTCTGTTCTAGGTCTGAGACTTTAGGTCAGTAGTAGCTCTGAATCGTATTTAGGAGAATTAAATAAATAAAAACTTAACAGATTTTAATTATTTTTTCGGAGGGTATTTTTCATCACATTCCTCCCAAACAGGTGTCAGTTTTTGGTTATAATGTGACCCGAAAACAATTCCAGCACTAAGAGGACTCCTTCCATCCAAACAGATGGTTGTTCTAAGTGGAGAAAACACAAACCTTTAACTTTAGAATCAAATGTGATGAATCAACAAGCAGGCCAGGATAGAAACCCACCAGTTTTTTTTGTCTCAGGCAGTATTTTGTCCTTGGTTTGCTGCCGTAGCTCCCAGAGGAAACCTCTGAGCTCAGGGATAAACAATAAACACAGCTGTGTCCTTCAAGAAGTTGAGTCTGCTAAAGTGTAGCTGATCCTCCTCCAGAACTCACCAGTGTTATCCACTCCTCTTGGTATTATCACGTCTGCGTACTTCTTGGTCTAAACAGCAAACAAAAAAAAAAGCATTCAGTCAGGAAAGTTATAGTTTTTGTTCGCGGTCACAGAGGCAGACAGCAGACTCACCGGCAGGCAGAACTCCTCAAAGGCAGGCTTCACAAAGTTGATGTACTGAGCCAGGACGCTCTCCAGGTCCCGGCCCCGTTCTCTGATGTCCCTCAGCACTGAGAGACACGGCACACAAAGTTAATGCCTGATATCCAAACATCCTGCCTTTGACCAAAAACAGGGAAACTGGTTCTGGGATTCGATTAAATGATATTAAATCATCAGGGATGTATTTAGATGCATATTAATGGATGTTTTCCAGCAGGCTGGATGTAATTGGATGTTCATATTACATGCTTTGCCAAATATATATATATTTTTTTAACAATGCAATTAAAGATTGAACTTTTCTTTTCAATTTATTTCTATAGCGCCAATTCACAACACATGTCATCTCAAGGCACTTT